TTAACTAGGGGAGAAAGTTAACTCAGAGCTGAGTCACTCCTCAACACCACTTATTCCTCTGGAAATTTTTAATATTGCCAAGAAATAAATGATGCTAGGAACATTCAAGACTCCCTCCTGTAATAGTTCTTGTCAGCAGGAGGCCATGCTGCTCACTATACTTCAGCCCTAGGTCAGGGCTCTGGCCTGACTACAGGCCGAATATCCATTCTAGTGGCCCACCATTGTTTGGAGTGGGACAGCACATAAACAGCTAAGCCGTCTCTGGTAAACCACATGGTAGTCTGGATGTGGCACTGTTGCTCGGCGCAGGCAGCAGATGACATTTATACTGTTTCGGTTCAGCTCATTGGCAGTTTGAGCCCCAGTCCTGCATCAGGACGGGGCAATAAACCAGCAGTTAAACAGTAGCCTAGTCAGCTGCACAGCAGTTTGAGCCCAGGCCTTTGATCAGAATGGGGCAAGAACCAAACAATCAAATGGGTAAGTAGTCCAAAGAGTTTCAAGGCGCAGGCCTATCTGCAGGCTGAGCCAAGGGTTGGGTCTCCTTGCTGGTGAAGAGCAGACAAGCGCAGGGGTTTTGCCCCACAGGGGGAACTTGCCACTCAAGAGAGCAGGGGGGATGCAGGCAAGGGGACCTGCACCACTATGTCCCAGCCCAGGGCCCTAACAGTGCCACGGCCACTGGGTCAGCGGGACTCCAAGCCGTAATGCATTGTCTGGGTCGGTGAGTCAGTGGGAGTTTGAGCTGCAACGCCATGCCTAGCTGACCATTTCTTCAGCCACCCAGGGGTTGGCTGTTCCTGGGGGCCTGGGTATATCTATGGGCCCAGGCAGCAGCTTTTGCAGCCTTGTCCAATGATCCAGGTCCGGCAGCAGCTGTGGCGGCCTAGACCAGTGCTCAGGGCCCGGCAATGGCCCAGGTGGCACAACCCAATTCTCCCTCTGAGGGCAGCGTGGCAGGGTCTTCCTCTGCTGGGGCTGGGGAAGCGCCTCTGCCCTGCTCAGCAGCTGAGTGCTAACTGATCTTGGAGCCCCTCTTCTTATTCCCCAAGCCTTAACTTCCTGTTTCCTGTGGGCAGGGCTGGGTGATTCTGGCACTGCCCATCAAGGGTTTTTTGGGGAGTTTCTTCCTCTGGTTCAGCGTGAGGCCATGCTGACTCACTACATCTCCCCCCACAAAAAACTCCAACCATGCCAGCACATTAAATCACAATCTTTATATTTGGATTCTTAGTTAGGTAAATAGGTGTAATCTTAAGAATCCAAACAACTGGCTGACTCTCAGAGGTACTGTGAGTACTTGCTGCTCCTCATAAAATAAGTAGGACCCTGGGTGCTCGGGACCTTCAAAAATCAAGCCATACCTTGATATTTAGCTTTCTAAATATGGATTTTAGCTGGTCAACTTCAGGTACTGATCCCTGAGCTGACTTTGTGGTCTAGATACAAAGCCTAACAAATCTGAATGAAAGGCAAGAAGTTGGGTGGGAGAAAGGAGGGCAAAGCTTCAGTTGCTCAGGCAGTTCTGCATGCCTCTTTCACGTCAGTTCACGCTCACTCTTTGTAAGCATTGCAGAAGAACTGAGCCTCCAAGGGGGACTTGAATGAGCAGTGACTTGGTGAACCCAAATTGATGACATCATTGAGGAAAACTCATTTTTATTCTCTGTGGGCTTTTCTACACTACAGAGAAAATTGAAGCTGCCAGTCAATCTCCCAGGGTTTGAATTAGTGGGTCTTGTGAAGACATGCTAATTTGAACTGAAAGGGTGCATCCATTGGCACCTGCAGTCCTCCTCCTCCCATCGAGTGGACGGCACCAAAACACAGTTTAACATACTTCAACTCCAGCTACATAATTAACATGGATGGTGTTGCGTATCTTAAGTTGACTTTCCCCTTTAGTGCAGATCAGGCCTGTGGAGTATCTCTAGTCAGAAACGCCAACAAAACAGAATACAAATGGTAATTGCAGAAGCACTAGTTTTTACCTCTTAAACAAAACCCAGCCAGCCAATTCAACAGTGCACAGTGCAGGTAATCGAAAAACACACATCTGGAATGCAAAAGGAATACCTCTGGCAAAACATAAATACTGTCTTTCACAGGTGAACTAACCTTTGTGTAAACGTCAACTCTGTTACAGAATTCTAACAGGTCTGCTGCTTTTATTCTTGAAGATAGCGCCTAAGAACATCTGTTGTGATTCCCTTTAAATCCGCTAATCTTCTTGTTGATGAAATGTCTCACATTGTAGTCCATAACACACCAGGGAAGTGCAGGGAAAAAAAGATTAACTTCAGTTTGTTAAGCAGTAGTTCAAATATTCTTAAATATCTGCTTTGTGCAGTAAAATTCCAGGCAAAATGAACATGGGGTGCTTAAAAATGTAGGGGCACAAATACAACTGCTTATGTGCTTCTTACTATCCACTTTCAGTAAGCAATACCTTTGAAGCCTAACGTGAAATAATATGTAAAATCGGTTAAATGCAGGCATTTTCACCTTTTTTATAGGAAAGTAAAAGTGATTTGAAAATATAAACATAGCATTAAGATAAGTGATCAGTTGATTGGTCATCTTTTCAATCTTGCTTTGAGTTGATTAAAATAATTTGTATTTCTAAAGTCCTTGAGCTACACGATTGACCGGAGACCATGATTTTTAAGATTATCATTCAAAAAGCTAAGAGCTCTGTGCTACTTTCTACTGTGTGACATTTAATTTATATTGATAAAAGTCTGTTGTGTATATCGGTGCAAGGCAGTAGCTGTGTCATAGAGGGCAGATTGGAGCCCTTCATTTCACTGAAATAGCAAGAGCAGAATAGAAATAATCCAAGGCAATTCAGCAAATAGCCAGTGTTAACTCAAGTCAACTCTTCTTAATGAAAAATATAAAACTGAGTGTTTAAATCAAGAGATCCATGTAAATCAGTTAAACCAATTGACACCGGTTGAGAATCTACCCCTTACTTTCAAAGTAGAGTACATTATTGGCGGTCAGCTAAGTCACAAACTCTACCGGAAATACACGGTTTCATGATGAAGTTTCAGTCATAATAGTGTTAGACAGATCTATCCTGGCTTCAGAAGATGGGAGGCAATGTGTCTCATATTTATATATTTACTTGATCTAAATATTCTAGTTAGCAACTTGTTTTAAATGTGCACTATATTTTGACTGGGTAGAATGTGGACTGTAGAAGCTATGATAAGATTGATCTGTGGTTTAGAGAAGTGAGTTGTCTGATTTAAACAAACTGTGGATTACTAGAATAAAAGAAGTCATAAAAATTTTAAATAGGAAATTTTTAAAATTTGAAATGGATTAATCCAGCTGTCCAAGCAAACTTCTTGTCACATTCTCAAAAGTTTTACTAACAGATTTCTTTAGTGTTTGGGCTTAAAGTTTTAAGCACCCTTTCTACTATTTCTAAATTTCTTCTCTAGCTAGAGAGCCAAGTACAAACTCAATTTTCTGCATCCCTCCCCTACCAAAGATCATGGTAATGGTGAGCACATACCTTTAATATAAAAATGAATCCCAAAAATGTTTCATGTTTGGCATGGTTGCATGGAAGCTAAACTGCCTAAAATGTCCACATCTTTTTAATAAGTTACAAAGTAGTTTTTATATGGGATAAAATTGCACTCTGGGATATATAGTACATTCTACTGGAACAATGCATGTTTTATTCCAGAGTTGAATTCAGACCATGATGGCTACCAATTTTTTTCCTCAGTCAATTCTATGCATCATATTTTTAAATGTATAACTTAATGGCAAGGAAACCAGAGCTTTAAAAAACTGGAAACATGCAAACCAATACACCATGGTATGTGTGCTTTCTGTATTTTTATACAATCAACAGAAAGGAACTGTGTACAGGAAAAAAAAAACATTGAAGAAAATATTCGATTTCTTCCTTCTCCATTTTGCTGAATTAATCTATCCAATGAATTCAGAAATCTCTACCACTTTTACTCTTTTTGTGCTCTGTTGAAGAATCCATATCAACTCTACAGCACTGCTGAGAGCAAAATTTCTGTCTCATGCTGGTGTCCTAGCAGTGGTGCTCATATTCATAAGACCTCATTGCACAGAGTCTGACAGAAATTTATTCTGAAATAGCTAGTGCAGAATACTGTACTGTGGAGAGTTTAGTATAGTAGGTTTAACAAACCAATGAACTTCAAACCAGCCAAATGGATCTGAGATGATTAACATCTAAATAAATTGATTAATAGACATGTCAAGTACTTTCACTGGTGAGGGGTTTACTGGGTTTTTTTTGGTCCTCTCTATTTTTAAGAAGGCAAAAATAGTTCTAATACCACTCCTGGTGGTAGGGTATCAATTCTTTGAGTTTCTAATCCTTGTCACGAGGCAGAAAATATTGGTGACAGTATTTTTTTTTCTGTGTTGATTTATTTATATTAGCTGTTTTTAGGTCACAAAGTCATTTAGCTTTCCTGGTGTACACAGACACAGTATGTGCTTTCTAAATTATTCTTTTTTCTTGCTGTTTCAGAAAGCCAAACTTGCCACAGTGTTTGTTTGAACTGGCCATGTTGGCCAGTTTCCTACTGAGTGCCTATAATCTTCCAGGGTATCTACACCATTGCACTCAATAAGTACTCTAACACTGCAGATACAGTTACTGGAGAAAAAAATCTTAGTCATGAACTAACAAAAGGCCACATGAGTGGAAAAATGTATCATTGCCCCCACAAAGATGCTTCTTTTCCCCCTGCTCCACTTTCCTGGAAACTAAAGATTGTACACCATAGTGTATTCCTAGGCCTTTGTGTGCTGCCCTGTTATTAACTGTATCATTCTTTGTAGCCTGACTGTAACCATCTAAGTGATGTATTACAAAGACGTGTGTGCTAGAGAGATTGCTCTAACACTCATGTCTGAATTAGTGCCTTGAAAGGTGAACCATATTTAATACTATCTTTTGTGTACATCACTTTTCATACTTTGTTTTACAGTTGCTGCTAATTTACAGAAGATAGTAGATGATCCTAAGGCTTTGAAAACATTGACTTTTAAATTGGTAAGTATAAACTTCTTGGTGACAAAATAATACACAGAAAACTCTTACTAAGATTTGAAACCAGCTTTTTTAACAGCTGAGCTGTTATTGGCGGGGTTTTTATTCAGAACATTAAACATTTTTAAACCATTTAGAGCAGCCCACAAACCAAAAGCAAAATCAGCCCTCTCTTCTACAGTTGAAACAGCATTGCAAGAAATGACTCTTTGGAATGCTATGATCTGATAATGCCTAGATAGTACATTCTGTTGTGATACACAGCTGTTCTGAATATGCTGCAATTGCTGGTGGCACTAGCTTGTTGGAAAAAATTGCACACGTTTTTTACCTTTGTCCAGTTGAACCAATGAGGGTTCTGATCTATGCTGAGAGAAAGACATTAAATTCAGGCTTCTAAATGCTTTCCTCAATATTTAAGTGTGTGTTTGGAAGCTACCCAGAAGTCATTGCAAAGGGTCCTAGAATGCATTTCTATAACCGTGGCTCTAAGGGATGGTTTGTGTAGATGTGTCAGCCTGGTCATAACTTAAAAATGAATTGCTGTGTGAATAGACCATGCTTTCTGGGTGGAAAAACAATACAGACAATTATACAATCTTTGTCCCTGCAATGGTTTCCATGTTGAGTATAGGAGAACTCAGTAAAGGCCAACCTGCTACAGTATTGCACTCTAGGCTCTCCTTCAGTAAAATAAGTTGGGAATTTTGGTGCAGACAATCATTGTACTGTTCTCTGGCAATGGATCCGAACTCTGTATATGAATTGAAGTGAATTCAAGGCTACTTTCTCCTAATAAAGCTTTCCTGTGGAGCCACGTATTTTTAGCTGTAGGGGGGAAGAGAGCACATTGTACAAGGTGAATATTTAAAGGTCTGATGTGCCTGGGAGGTATTGTAGAGCCACTCAAGTGGAAGCGTAATGAACAAGAAGTAACACTAACTCCAACCATCAAATCACAATAATGGGCTTTAATGGACAGGCCTATTTTTATGGCATACTCACACCAGTCAGTAATGACTGTAGTCCCTCAATGCCTGTGAAATAGCGAGGTGGGAATGGCATTCAGGTCACTCAAAATAAACATGAAGTAAAGATGTACCAAATAGTTGTCATAGCAATGGCACATAATCAGGTTTGATCTAACTTACTATTTTACTGCTTTTAATACATGTTAATACAAGTTGACTGAAATGATCATCTGCCTGATGATCTGCTGCCTGATGTACCTGTCAAAACAATGCAAGATGTGTTAATAAAAATGTAATCTTACATTGCAAAGACGAACATCAATGAAGCCAATTCTAAAATGCTATATTTGCATTTTTCCAAAATTAAGGTAAAAATGTGTTCAGCCAAAGCTGTTGATTAATTACTTATGTAAATAATACTGCTACCAATTAACTTTCTAGCTTTTAGCACTCTTTGCTGAGAGTGCCTGCTGGTTATGAAAGAATAGAATAAATGCCTCCTAGACAAGAGGCCATGCAGAGAGATGCTTTCTTTGTAAAATACGTAACTTCATGATGGGTAATAGTCTAAGTTGGATTTTTAGAGAGACTGGATTTTTCGTGGTGTGAGTATAGATTAGCTAGTCCATCCACTTGCTGGTGTAGGATTATTCCCTCTGTCATTTTAAAATGACATAATAAATGGGGCTTCTGCCTAGTCCCTTTTGAGATTGTTCCATGGAACCAGTCATTCAGGAAAAAGTGTTAACATAGGTTTAAAACTTCCCTTTCCTTGATTTCATACTATTAATCCCATACCATAAACAGTGTCTCTATTTCTGTGCCACTTGACCTCTATTTTTTGTCTTTCCCCTGTGTTAGTATTTAGCCAGGCTAGGTACATAGCATTCAGTTGGTTTAATAGTTGATCCAAAAAAATCCACCTGACATGTGTTCTTCCATTTTTCTGACATCCCTTCAGTTTGTGTATTTGTTTGTTGATATTGAGGTGCACAAGGTGGCTTACAATAATCCAGATTCCTCTAGGGAAGAAGTATCGCTATCCTGGCCTATGAAGAGAGGTCTTATGTATGGTCCAAAGTGAAGTTGGTCGTCTTTGGGTTGGGGAGGTGCCAGGTCATAAGTCATTTAAATTTTCTATGGACAATCAACCTACTTTTTTTAGGATTACCCCGTTTTCAATTGCAGTTCTATCTCCTGTTAACATTACTGGGTTGGACCCTGTGTGTTATCTTGTGAGGGACTCTCTTCTATTTAGATAGTTCTCCCACAGATGTTCTTCATTAGGAAATATTTTTCAAGAGTGAATCTAATTCCTATTAATATTTATAACCTCCCAAAATTTAATACCTCCCAATTTCTTATTATCCATCAGTATATTTAAAATGCATATTTAATATGCGATCTTACTTCTCTTTCACTCAAGTCATGGAATTAGATGCTAATAAAATAATGCCTGACACTGAACTTTATCCAGCACACACGCTTCTCTTTCACTAGTAAATATTTCCTGAGAAGCTGAAGTTCTTCGAGTGATGTCCCCATGGGTGCTCCACTCTGGGTGCTGGTGCATCCTCATGCCAATGACTGGAGATTTTTGTAGTAGTGACCTGCCATGCCACGCATGCATTGTGGCACCTCCTCATGCTGTTGGTGACCGTTAGACACACGTGGCAGATCGCTGCTACAAAAATCTCCGGTAGCAGACGGAGCTCCATTGACTCACCCTTTCTTCACTTAAAAAAAAAAAACAAAATTTGTTAATTCTCCTCCATTTTATCCTTAATTCCAAGTTTAAACTCCTACTCTATCCATCAAAAAAAAATTATTAAAAAAAACAGAACAACTCATTCGTTGTGTTTTGTCACCTGTTTGTCCCCATGCCTGGATCTCCAGGCTTCACACATTGTGACTCTTGCCAGGAGGCTATGCCAGTCTCAGACACTCATGCCTCCTGCATAAGGTGTCTCGGGGAGGCTCACTTTGACTCAAAAGTGTGCATACTGCTCCATTCTTACAGCTAGAGCTCGATGTGACTGTCAACAGGCTGAAGACATACCTATATGAAAAGCTTCTTCATCCACAGCGTAACGGCTCTTCTGCCCAGGGGCAAGGAACACATCAAATCAAGAGGTATGGAAAAGAGTGTCCCTCTACCTCCTCTGACAAACAAAATGTGAAAACCTGGGTTTCCCTGGCAAAATCACTACCACCAGCACTGACCTCAGCTAGAGTGAACATTGGCAGTAAGCCTGGCACCTCTGGCACAGCACTGTCTAAACACTCAGTGCCTCTGAAGAGAGCTCATTTGGATCCCAGACAGAAAACATCAGCACCACTCATACCGGTAGAATCCATGGTGCCAGCCCAACACCACAAGTCCATGCCAAAATTGACAAAGGAGACGGCACTACATGCGGTGCCCAAGAAACTCTGCACCACCATGCCTCTTCCGAAGGCACCATCTTCTACGCCATCAGTGCTGTCTGCTCATTCACCAACGTCACCAGTTTAATCTGTTTCACTGAGAGAGGCTGGCAGCAGCCTGTATAGCCACTTTTCATCTCAGCACTCCAGCCCTACTCAGCGACACCCTCCTTGGGACTCTCGATCCTCTAGACTATCACATCCACCTCTACCACCTCGTTGGTATGCACACTATTGGCCTTTCCCATTACCTCCTTATCACGAACAGTGGCACCCATGGGATACCTGGTTGTCTCGCAGGAACCATCATACTGCTCCTTCCACACCAGTGAAAAGACCACCGCAGTCCCTTCAGCCTGCACCCAGGGGCACAGCACAGAACTCCCCAGAAGTCTTACAATCAGAGGTGGAAGACTCCCTCTCAGAAGGTAAATACATCCCCGATACACAGCTCATCACCCGATGAGGCTATCATCCCTACCATCCCTCCACCATTGGATGACGCAAAACAATTCCAAGAGCTTTTCAAGAGGGTGACAGGAACACGACCTGCAAGAAGTACAAGTAAAACAGTACAGACTTCTGTATACACTGCAACCTCTGACATCGTCAAGGATTGCTCTACCAATGGATGAGATCTTCATGGACCCTGCCGATAGTATCTGGCAGACCCCAGCATTGATTACACCCACCAACAAGAGGGCTGATTGTAAGTACTTTATTACACCTAATGGCATTAACTTTCTTTTCTCACATCCACCACCTAATTCCCTTGTCATTGATTTAGCCAGACACAAGAGCAAACAGCCAAACCTGAGGTCTACTCTCCAAGACAAAGAACATAAGATGCTTGACATCATGGGCAGAAAGGTATACTCCTCTGCAACCCTACTATTAAGAGCAATTAACTATAGTGGCATGCTCGCTGATTATGATTATATAAATTACTCCAAGCCACAAGAGCTCCTCCAGTTCCTTCTGGAGCACAAAAGACCAATACTCCTAAGTATTATGCAGGAGGGTGACACTATCTCATGCACAGTGTTACAGTCCTCCATGGATGTTGCCAACACCACAGCATGCACCACCACAACTGCCATAATTCGTAGAGCTTCGTGGCTCCAGGCATTCAGAGACCTACAGCAAAAGACCTTGCATTCAATAAAGCTAACCTTTTCACCACGAAAACGGATGAGGTCTTATAGTCTATGAAGGACTTTGGAACAACATTGGGAAATCTCAGCTTGTTCATACCACCTAATAAGAGGTTCAGATATAACACCTATTCAAGACCTAGAGATCAGTATAGACAGCAACCTCAATATGATTTTAGACAAACACAGACTCCAACAACGAAGACCGCAGCACCAGCAACAACATACAACATCCCACCCTTCATTATCTAAGCAGGAAGTTTGAAGATTTGGTTGGGAGTCAGAGACACATCCCTGTTACATCACCAACTGGAGAACTTGAGTTTAATCACCACCTACGGCCCTTTTTACACCAATGAGCACAAATAACAGATGGATGCTAGAGCTCATAAAAGTGGGCTATTCCATTCCCTTCACCTCTACTTCCTCTTCTGATGTTCCCTCCCGCCCC